TGAGATTCAAAAGAAAAAAAAAAAAAAAAAAAAAAGAGTGAAAATAAGTAAGGATGAACTCACGAGCGTTGATGGTTGAAGAAAGGGTCCAAAAAGTGAATATGGCCCTAAGTTTTGTGTGACTTTCCCTTGGGTGTTCAAAGTTGACTTCTGCGTTCTTAAGGGAATTCTAAGTGCCTGACTCAATACTTTGCTCACTATTGCTTTAAGAATGTTTGTTTATCCTTCACCTTTCATTGTTAGCCAATACCCCAAGCCCCATTACAACCCTTGACTTCTATCTTGAGTGTTGTGTATTTCAATTGTGGAGTTTGAATTTGGTATGAGCATATGGTGTCACTGGTTCTCGCGTCTAAGTAGTAGCATTCCATTCATGAGATCATATCTAAACATGCTTATTAACTCCAGAAATTGCGTTCTTTGTGATACATATATGTGAGTGTTCGTTTTCATGTTTACATCAATCTTCTCACATATGACTAGATTAGGGTGTGTAGTTAGAAAATCTGAGTGAAAATCGAGTGCATATCTTGTAAGGAATTGAGCAAATTCTCTAAGGCATGTTACTACATTCAAAACATGGTTTTAAATGCTTAATTGTGAAATAGTATGTGGTGACTATGATTAAGAATGTACTTAAGTGTGAAGATAACTAAAATCTGTGGGAATGATGATTTTTAACATGTCATGTGCATTGGAAATCCCTAAGACGGTTGTTGGAAGGTTTAGGTTGTGTTTTACTTGTTTAGCGTCATTTTGTTTGTTTGTTATTATTTTGTTTTGCTCGAGGACTAGCAAAAACTAAGTGTGGGGGAATTTGATAGGAGCATATTTAGGCGACTTACTTAGCTTGTTTTCGTGCATCTATGTTGTTAATTCATAGTTGTTTTAGTAGTTTAAGCCATTTTCGTGTGTTTTTAGGTTCATATGGCTAAGGATGCAAAAAGATGCATTTTGGAGCATTTTGGAGCAAAATTGGGCTTGGAATGGATAGCATATTTTTGGAGCCAAAGTGTTGGACGAATTTGAAAGCCTTGTATGCACTTTGGACATAAAACAAAGGGCCTAGCCCAATCAAACAATCCTTTGAGCCATGCAAAACCCCTAGCCCAATCAACAAGCCTTAGCCACATGCATTCACATGCATCACAACCCCAAAACCATTAAGAAACACCCATTCACACACACATGCACTCACATGCATTCACATGCATTTCCACCTTCCTACTTCATCATTTCACCACATTCTCCCTCTTTAACTCACATGCACCCAAACAAAGCCAACCTAGCTAACCCTACATGCATTATTTATTCACTCTTCATCATTGCATTCATCACCAAAGAACTCCCCATCATTGCCATGCATTCCCCCTAATTCCATCCATCTTCCACACCTTTCCAACCTAGCCACACCCTTTAATCATCCCCCCTTTAAGTTATGATTTTATTTCCTAACCCTACATGCATTATTTATTAACTCTTCATCATGCATCCACATTCATTCCAACACAAAACACACACATGCACTTATTCTTTCATCATTGCACCACCAATTCACCCACATGCATTTCCAACCATTCACACCCCTTTAATCATTCTCCTAGCTATCATTCACATGCTCTCCCATCCATTCTCTCCCTATATAAACCACACACACTTCCATTTGATTCAATTCACTCTCCATTCTCATCATCTCATTCACAACACAACACACCACAAACACTTCCCTAGCCGTGAGTTTCTCTCCCTTAGAATCCAAAAACCATTCTTCCATTTCCACCACTCCTCATCCACTTCCATAATTCCACACTTCCATTCCCCCAAACCAACTATCCTTCGACCTTATGCTACAACGAAGAGGAAGATAAGAGGGCCTAAACGTTCATACAATTCAAGTTTGAGTTGTTGGAATGTTTAGGCGTTTCTTTGATTTCAATGTTTAATTTCAATTCTCTTTGTTTTGTACGTATGAGGAACTAAACCCCCCTTAGCTTGGGGGTGATTCGAAATATATGTTTATGCTTGCAATATGATTTGATTACTTTTAATTACGTTTCATAAGTTGTGAATTCAATTTGTTTAACTATTTGATTGATATCCTATTTATGTATGTTTATTAAGAATGAACGCTTAATTTTCATGCATGAATTTGACGCTAGAATATAAGTGAGTTTCACGTAATAGTTATGAACTTATATTCACAAGTAGTGGAGGTTGCTTATAAACAATCGCGTTAAACAAATTCTTGGCATAAGTTTCATGCAATCATAGTAACGAATGACTCGTCAACACTTATAGTTTTCATGATGCTTAATGATTCTTGCTTGTATCTCTATTATGCAATTCATGTAGGGAACTTGTGAGGAATGCTTTGGGTTGTCGTATGCAATCATCCAATTCATTAACTTAAGGAAAACTTGACGGTTAATTTAAGCGGACCTAATTAACCCGGGGCGTTGAGAATTCATGGTTTATTGAAAAGCAATTAAATTCGTTTTATATGCAAGTATAACATGTATGGAGATGAACCCCTTGGCTAGCATCCATTCATTCCATTTCATCAATTTCATATTTACATTCTGTCTAGTTTATTAACTTGTTTCGTTATTTCAATTTTCGTCAAACCTCAATCCCCCTTTTGCTTTAATGTTCAATTTAGTTAGAAATCATTTTAGTTTGTGTTTTTAAAGCATTTTGAGCCTTTTGGTTTGTCTTAGTGTTTTAACGTTTAGTTTCACATTCTTTAAGTCTAGTTTAGTGTTTTATTTTGTTTTTACGTTTTTGAGTCAGTTCCCAAGAGATTAACAATCCCTCCTAATCCCCGGTCCAGAACGATCCCTACTTATACTTATACTACAATTGACAAAAAGAGGGTTTAATTTGTGCGCGTATAATTCTCGCATCAGGGTCCGACGACTTGTGAACTCCGTAGAATTAGTAGCCTTGTCTTCAGGCTATAGAACCCAGAGGCCGAGAGCGTTCCTTCCTCGGTCGCAATCGCAAGATACAGAAGTCAACAGCGCACCCAACGCGACAACATCACATTTTACTCCTCGGCCGAGCTCGGCCGACGAGTTGGCACGCCCCGCATTCAACCGAAGGACGTAGTTAGCTCATTAGTTACTCGGCTTGCGCGCCACGTAGGTTTTGTAATTTTTGTAGTCAACAGTTGTACTAATAAATATTGTACTTCTTTCACGGAAGCTAATGATATTTAAATATTCGAATACGTTGGTAGGTGGGTTTCATACTACGTAATTAATGTCGAGATTTGAGCTAATCTCCAGTGGCTGTGAACACTGCATGTATTCATGAATATGAGATACAATCAAAACCCTGTTTAATCATTTTTTAGCCAATGATTACTGCAGAAGATATTCATACCAAAAATATAACTGTGGCAGATTATAACCATTTTAGTGGGTTTAAACTTTAATTAGCTAAGATCTCTCTAGTCTCTCTCACCACTTTGGATTCTTCTTGGTGTTAATATATATGGAGTTCGTAATTTGTACATCTCCAGCATAGGTAGCACCGGCATCCAACTCAGCGGCCCCACCAAGGGAGACAAATTTATGCTTTTCCAGATGCTGTAGTCATGCGAGCATGTTACTGCTCCACGAGATCAACGACTTTCCTCACCACTTCCATCAATCATTCCTTGTTTAATAACTGATCAGATTTTTAGCAAAATATTGGAAAATAAAGGAATCGAATTCAACACTTCTAGTCACGGTTGCAAAGACGAACGCTCTTTCACTACTGAAGCTACGAAGAGCAATCAACATCAATATACATCACAACGTAGTAATATATTACCACAACATAGTACTTCAACCACATCTTCGAGGTAAGTATTAAAATATTTATATGTTCATTTGATTTATTTTATTCAAATCATGGGAGTGAAAGGTTTGAGCTATTATTTTTTTCAAGGGGCGTTTTGAACTATTGTCGTATTGTTACGAATGGTAATGCTTATCAACTTTCTACGTTTCTTCTGTGTTTTTTTTTCCTCACTACTTCCAAGTACTGGATAATTCTGCAAATTAGAGTTTTTATTTTAAACTCATTAAATCTCAAGTTAAAATCCTCCTTTTTTTTTTTTGATATAGTTTAGAATAATAGTATCGCTTTTAATTAAAGAGAAAGGAATTAAAGTACGGTCATCCCTACCAAAGACTTTTAATAATGTGTCACACTGTTCATCAGAGTAAAGGAAAAGACGAAGGTTATGTGAATAGTCAAAGTTAATTTTAGGCCTGGTTTGGTACTGAGGTAATTCTGAAAAAAGTTGGGAGTTGTTTTTGTGTTTGGTAAACATTCAGCTTCAATTTTTTTTTTCATAATTTTGGATGAAAAAAAGCCAAAAACAAGAAACTGCGAAACCCAGTTTTGAAAAACTGGCTTTTGTTTCATATTTGTTTTACATAAAAGTTTATCAAACATTATAACATTGTTTTTTTTTTTCTTTTTCAAAAGCTCTTTTACAAAAAAGTTTACCAAACACTTTGCTACTTTATTTCACAGTTGCTTATTTTCACAGCATAGTAGAAGCAGTTTTTTTTTCAAAGCATAACAATACCAAACCAGCCCATAGTGTTATGAATCCAGGTCAAGCACAAACCATGTCAAGTGACTTAGTAGTAAGGGTGCGGACTGTAATTCTGTAATAAACAAAAAGATGTGGAAGGTTCTGGGTTCGATACTCTGAGTTGGTGAGTCTGTTTGATCGTTACCATTGGCAAAGTGAAATTCCCCATAGTCACTCTGGACTTGGAAGAAATGGATAACCATAGCATGCAACCAGTTGTCCTTCTTTTCTTAAATAAATAAATAAATAAATAAATACAGGTCAAGCATTCCAAGTCCGACCTCAATCGTATTCAATTTCACACTGAGTTGCTATTCATACCTGTAATCATTTATTTATTTATTTTGACAAATAAATAAAAAATACTTGCCAAATTGTTGTCAATATTAAGCTATTCATATTTCAGATACATGAATTTTCCAAGGAAGTAAGAAATTTCAGAAAAAACCAATCTCTGGACTTCTTGATCGAGTCATCTCCCAAAACATTTTCCGTATAAACCTTTCTTTTCACCAAAATTATTTGTTGAAAAAAGAAGTTAGATTCATATCAGAAAACTTGAATTTTGTAAAGAGAAAAGAATGGATGATAAGGAGCTTGAATTTGCAGCTGATTTTGGTTCCAACCAAATGCCTGAGAAATTGTCAACGACCACCATTGACGCACCTTCTGTTTTGCAAAACCAGAACGGCAGAAGCCAAGGAGAGGGAGCACAAGAGCTGCTGCAGCTGCACAAGAAGAAGAAGAAGAAGAAACTGAAAAAGTTGACATCGATCAAGCTCTCCAAATCACCAAGTTTGAAGCCGTCTCGAAGAAGATCCAATCACCATGTATCCTCCACTGACGATTCTTGTGATACAAGTACAGAAAACCTACAGGCAAGTTTGTTAAATTCTTGATCTTTTATATTTTTCTTAAAACGATAATATATAGCAAGGGAAATAAAAGATTAGGCAAGCGGAACTACACACACGTTGAATTTTTAATGCTTTTGCTTAACAATTAAAATAGCTGGAAATTGAAGATTGCCCTTCTTTTTGTTTATTTTCCTTTTTTGGTTTGTATGTAGAATTCAGCAAGAACATTAACGAGGCGGTCTAGTTTTAAGCCTGCAAAGAATCTAACGAGAATTTCCAGTTTAAAATTTAGAAACCCCTTGATGAGGAAGTGCTCGGGAGGAACCCAAATGAATAATATTGATCTCATGAAGTCAAGAATGTCTAAGCCTGCAGATTCTGCCATCTCATCCACTGATGCAGATTCATCATCACCTGCTTGTTCCAGTAGCAGTACTAGTAATGAGACTAGGAAAAGAGCAGTTTGGTCAAAGCCGAACTTGAAAACTTCCCCTGGTCAGTGTTCACCCTTGAATTTTGCAACAAAATCCAACAAGTATTGCAGCAGGAACCACTCTGAAATCTTTCAAGTTCCGGAATTGAGAGTTCAAAGACCTACATGTTCTTCGGCACTCAAAGGTTCCAAGTTGCCTGAAATTCGGGATCCTGAGGCAGAGGGGACTGAATGTGAGGGGGGTTCGGCCACCAGGGTTTGTCCATTCACTTACTGCTCACTTCATGGTCATCGCAATGCCAATGTACCCCCACTCAAGCGCCTGATTTCGATAAGGAGGCGCATGTTGAGGGCTCAGAGAGGCGTAAGCCGCGTAACACGGGCAACTCAACCGTTGGAGAGAGTGAAAAGGTCTGGCAAAAATAAGGATGATCAGACTAATCACATGGCCTGCAATGGAAATGGCGCAGTTCATGAAATGAATGCTATGGTGTCACTCCCTGCACAGGATTGTTTAAGTCCGGAATTTTGTTGCATCGCTACAAATTTGGAGTCCACCAAAACAGACTGGAATGAAGAGAAATTCGCAGTGTCTGATCACAATGAAGGCTCTCTATCCACTTGCACAGATGATATGAACATTAATGATCCTACATTGATTGTTAAAAATATGGAGGTTGATGATTGCGCAACTGTCAAACTACCAGATAATTCGGAAAGACCAACCCCTCATGATGTTGTGGAATCCACAAGGGACAATGAAAAAAAGGAAGTCTCTTCTGCTTCTCATAGTCCAGCTTCGAAGGAACAAATTGCAGATAATGAGAACCAAAAAAGATGTGCGCAAGCAAAGGAGAAATATACCCGAATGTGGCAGTTGATGTACAAGCACGCAGCAAAAGGTATCACTCCAAATGTTGAAAACAAGCTCCCTCTTGATGGATCAGACAAGGAAGAGAAACCAAAAGATGCCAACATCACGTGCGACACAGACAATTTATGTTTCACAGAAACAGACGAGCATACAGTTTCTGTAAATCACAGAGCAGGAGATGAAACTACTGAGATATGTTGCCATGATGCCATTCAGCTGGTGCAAGAAGCATTTGATAGCATTCTTCTCCCGGAAATTCAGGACTGCTCATATGATGATCAATCATCTACTAGGGGCGCCAGCTCAGACTTGGAAGCATTAGAACAGACAATAGATGAGGGTGGGGAGCAGAGCACCTCAACCACCAGTCATTTGTCTGAGACTAGTACGGCACAAAATCGAGAAGAGAAAACTATGTCAGAAGTGGGAGTTAAGACGGACAAGAAAACACCCAAGAGCTGGAGCAGTCTTAAAAAATTCATTCTCCTCAAGAGATTTGTCAAGGCAGTTGAAAAGGTGAGGAACCTCAATTACCCGAAGCGAGATTACCTGCCCTTGCATCCTGATTCGGAAGCAGAAAAAATCAATCTAAGACAGCAGAAGACAGAAGAGAGAAAGAAGGCCGAGGAGTGGATGCTTGATTATGCACTTCAACAGGTTATATCTAAACTACCTCAGCCTCAACAAAAAAGAGTAGCATTGCTGGTAGAAGCATTTGAAACAGTTCTCCCGTTTTCAGAAGTTAATGGCAGCCAGAGGTCCAACGAAACAGATTCCACTAAATCAGATCTTCAAGTCTGCAATGGTTTGCCAGTTCAAAGTTCTGTTCATCAAGGTAAAGGGAGTGACTCGGAATCTTCTGCTGAAATCTTGCTTGGGAATGTGTTGTGTCCTGAGAAAAGTTTAAATGAGTCTCCCGATCAAGTCAGTGATTTTCAAATGCAAGAGCAGCGAAGTCAAGTGAATTTTCCTAAGCTTCGAGAGTCGAGTATACGCCACTGTTCCATTCAAACCGAAAGGGATATTACCGTTCCTGAGGCCACTGGTGAAGCTCAGAAGGAGAATCAAATTGTTTCTATAAATGCTTGTGATCGGGATGAGAAAGTCATTGACTTTACCAGTATTTCTTCATTAGAAATCAAAGATCCCAAGTTATGTGACAAAACCTCCTTGGAGCAAGATGAACATGGTAGCCCCAGTTGTAAAGGTCTGGTAAATGAAGTGGTTCAAGAAGCCTCCAAAGAAGTTACTTTGATCGCGAGTTTGGAACTTAGCAACATTGGTTCCATGGTGGAAAATATCAAATCTGACACCAATAAGTTAATTACCGAAACTGATGAACAGTCAAATTCATCTGAGGACCAAATCATTGAAAGTCACGAGGACTCAACAGCAGATAACACGGTGATTTCTTTAGCTTCCATAGGATCAACTGAGGAGCAAATGGCAGCAAGAGAAGAGGTGAGAGAACATGAAGCCTGGTTAGAAAAGAAGAAATATACAAACTTATGGTTCTTAGTATATAAGCATATGGCATCAACTATCGATCCAAAAGATGGAGATGAACCACTTGAAGGAGCTGAAGAGGAACAAGTAGACGACGCCAACAGATTGCCTGAAATAGATCAAGAGAAAAGTGACTATGCAGACAACAAAAAGGTTGAACTCCGCCATATTGAAGCTATCAAGCTGCAGGTCGAGAAAGCAATTGATGAAATTGTTCTTCCAGAGAACCAGGATGAATCAGATGATGATAAATCAAGCACTAGAGACTCATGCCCAGAGCAGGAACCTCCAAAAAATAAAGTTGTCGTAGAAGGGAAATCTTTCATCTCGAAATCCACCAACTTCGCCAAGTTTGATAATGCTACCATTCAAGAAGAAGAAAATCCAGTCGCAAAGGTGGAAGACAAACCTGCCAAGAAAATGTCGAAGAACTGGAGCAATCTGAAAAAAATGATTCTTCTCAACAGATTTATCAAGGCATTGGAAAAGGTAAAGAAGTTCAGCCCACGAGGGCCACGATATCTGCCCTTCGAACCTGACCCTGAAGCAGAGAAGGTTCATTTAAAGCATCTAAACATGGACGACAGGAAGAATTCCGAGGAATGGATGCTTGATTATGCCCTTCAACAGGCTGTTTCCAGATTAACTCCAGCCCGGAAAAGAAAAGTATCACTGCTTGTAGAGGCTTTCGAAACAGTCATTCCAAGTAATGGAATTCCAAACCCATTCAAGCCACAAGTTGCTCACTGATTTCAGGTAAATGGAATAATCAAACAAAACATTACATTTGTTTTCCTAAATGATCCAAGCTTAAGGAAAAAGGAATAATCAAACAATACATTACTCACGGGCTGCTCATGTGTTTTTATGAAACATGTCGAGTCTAACATTATTGGTAGATGCTCATCAGTCCTATTTTTAAACATTTTGTAGGTACGGCACCTAGAAGACGAATGCATGTCCATAGTAGGAACCTCAGTTTTTTTAGCATGTAAATTCACAGTGTCTTTGAAGCTATATGTCCGCTGGAAAATCCTTCAAACTTGTTTCTGTAGTTTCCTTCAGAGACCATTTTCCTTCAGAGACCTCAAAACTTGTTTTTGAGCTAATTTACGTGCAGTTATCTTATTAGAAGCAGTTGATTTATGCTCGTATGTGACCCCTTCCGCTTCAACCTCTATTGTAACCCTAGCTTCACCATTTTGGAAGCACTCGACAAATTTCTGCACATTATAATGCTTTTTTTGGCAATAATCATTGAACTCTCTTCCAGGATGGAGCTTCAACGTTTCTGGAGAAACCAAGGGCTCTAAGAGACGACGTATACTCTGAAAGACAATTTGTTTATTGCATCCAGAATCAATAAAAATTGCTCCCGCTAAAGCCTCAACAATATCCGCAAGTACCTACATAAAAGGGATTCTTATGAGCGTTATGGGAGTACAATATTCTACAATTCAGGTATCTCTAGTGTAAGCTTGTTAGGTAGGCATTTGTTGTAACATGGATAAAACCATAAAAAGTAGGAAAACGTAGGTGAAGAAACTAACATTGGTGAAGGATGTCTCAGATTCAAATCCAAAAGTTGATTCTGTAGATAGCAATCCAAAATTGTTAACAGTAGAGTCAATATTTCGGTGGACTATGTCCGAAGCAAGAATGTGCTCGTGTAATCCAGCCTTCACAGCAGATCGTGCATAACAATCGTTGTTCACAGAAGCAGACCTCATATCAGTTAAAAATCGTGGCGACATCATCCCAGGATACATATAGTAAAAATAAGCAGTGATCATATAATCCAACACCGCATCACCAAGAAATTCTAGCCGCTGCACAACAAAGAAGGTACATCTGAAAAGTTATGAACATATCATAGGACTTCAAAGTAACAAATTGCCTAAAAATTAACTGCAGATAGTCTCCTAGGAACTGTTTAACTGACAATGAACATGAGCAGAATAAGCTGCTACGTTCGGGGCTAAACTTTTACATAATAGATTCCACATTAAAGAGACCGAATCCAGCATACTTTGAAGTGACAAAAAATACATATTTATAAAAAGTAGATATGCATGGAAAAAGTTTCATCATCATCGCATCATTGCACGCACCTGGTAACCTCCTGGTATGTAAGAACCATGGCTTAGCGCTTCCACGAGAAGAGAAGGATCACAAAATTTGTAGTCAAGCAATGACTCTAAATGTCCGACATCAATGAGCTTCTCCGGCTGCACTTGTAAGTGCCTCTCATATCGTATGTGGTCTAAATCCACCTCTATACCAACCCAGTTCATGAAATATATGGCATCTAGTTCACCACCTGTGCTAAGAAATGCACCGATTAGTGCCTCAACTACATCTCCAACAACTTCAGTATCGATCTTCCTTGTTCCCCCAACGTAAATGCTTCTTTTATTAAAAAGCAACTCCTCATTTAAGAAATAATTTCCAGAATAATCTCCAGTTATGGTCCACTTTTTCGGATCAAAACTCTCCTCACGAATAAAACCCTACAACATGTAAACAATGGCAGATGAGTCATGCAACAACGTTTATAGGAAAAACATTCGAAAATCAAATGGTAACAATTTGAATGCAGGTTTCAGAAAATTCACGAGGATAACATGATTAGAACTCGAAATGAAATGATTGAATAAATAATTGTTACCGAAATTTTACGGTCACATCCAAGCTTGCCAAGGGAAAGATTAGAAATTATTTTGTCCTTATTTACACTAAGGAGGCCCTCACGATCATTTTGATAGGTTTTAAAAAGCTGCTGACTTGCAGCATACTTAAGAAAGGAATCTCCAAGAGTTTCCAAGGATTCCAAATCGAAGTTCTCTTGGCAACCTTTTGTGGTAATAGATTCCAGGACCTACAAAGAGAAATTTGACAGCGAAAATTCAGAAATGTTGTTGCTTATCAATACATAAACGTTTCGCTAAATATAGGATAATACCTTTCCCTATGTAAAAATGTAGTATACCTTGATGGTTGGGATAGTAATATTTTGAGGGCAATGATCCAAAATCATGTGTTTCAAGTTGACAGAGAGTAGTAAAGACTCAAGCCGATGCATGATGGACGGAACAAGTGAGAACGAATATAAATTGCTGGTTGATATAGGTGACATGATTATAGCACAAAGTTCAGGCGGCAATTCAACAGATTTATCACTTGATTCTGCAAAAGAAGTTGCAATATTAAGCTTTTTATTGGATAATAATTATGAAATAAGCTTGGATTAGTTTTTGGTTTGCAGAACTAAAATGTTAACGCACATTGCAAAAGTTTGTATCAAAAAAATTAAAATGCATTTTCAACGAAGGAAAGTGATAAGGGAGAACAAACAAATTTCGATAACTCTGGCAAAGCAATATCAAGTTAGCAACCATGTGCATTTTCATCTAATCATTATGTATACAGATGTATACACGTATTTATTTATATTAAAGATGGATTATGAATTATTCATCAAATTTTCTGTCCAATACACAGGATTGAAAGAGGCTAGGAAATCAGACCTTTTTTGGTCTGTTGTCGGCACTTCAGAAGATAATTTTGTACCCGAAAAATGTGTCTCCCATTCAACAATAACTGTTGATCAAAACACTGGTTGATCCCATGCCTGCAGTAAGGAAATCATCTGAGTTAATAAAAATGGCTTGCATATATCATTTTAACCCAACCATATATTGAAACTATACCGAATACTTCATGATTTCTTTTACTTTGGAGACGGATGATCCTTAAAATGGAAAGACGAGACATGTAAATACAAGAGATAATGATAGAAGACATACTTTGCTTCATAGTGGGCTTTGTAGGTAAGAGATTTGCTGTCCTTCATCAGTGAGTTTCCATTCAAGTCATCCAACAGACCAGTGATGCAATACAGGATACTGTTATGAGGCGTATAGACCACAGAATTCTGGATCCTGCAAGTACAAACCATACCATTTTGGGTATGTAGCAGAACATGGGAATTGTTGTTGGGTTGAGGAAAATTTACACAAGCACTATTCTTAGAATCATCGTTACAGAGAGACGACATAGACATAATGCTTTCCAAATCAATGATTGATGGTCTCTGGTGTATCCTTTCTACCGGTAGCAAAAGGTAATCAATCGATTCAGTCCGATGGTTTTGTCCCAAACAAAATCTTTCTAAAACTTCATCCAACTTTTTCAATTTGCAATCCACTAGAATCTTAAAAATTGTGATTTGGAACCTTCTGCACGCAAGAACCTGGCAAATAAAATTACACAACCAAGATTAACCATTGGTTTATCTTTTATATCATGTCATATAACACTCAAAGGTAGTAACACACAAGAAACTGTACCTGCTCTGAACTTAGACTAACATCTCCAGCATGTTTAAAGTTTACTGTTAAAGGACCCCCTTGAACTTGTAATTCAAAATTCATATTCGCAATAGTATCACAATCAAGTTCATTCCTCGTGCCAAGTACGATATCACTAACTGGAATATCACAATCAAAATTCGGTTTCAGCTCAATTAAGTAGCAATGATACATTACACTAGCATCATTTGAACACGGAGGTTTGACCAGCTCGATTGGGACATAACGGGGTTGTTCATCATCAGAAGGTTCACGCCCTGCACATAAAGCACTTACAAATTACAAAATAAAAAAACAAATTGTATGAATCATATACATTTGTAAAACGAAAATGGTTAGAGAAGCTACCAACTTACAAAGCAAATAATTTATAACTATTTATAAGAAGTAATCAAGGTATTGAAAAAGGTAAGAGAAGTTACCAAGTTCTTGTATGGCTTCTTCCACCACAAGAGGATCAACAGATTTATTCCGGGCTACGTCTTTATCCATGTTAGCTTCTCTCTACTACATTCGCCAAGTTTCCAACAAAAATAACTAAATCAGCAATCGTATTTTGAATATCACACAAAGTACTAGAGTAAAGTGTCCGTTTGATAACTATTTTAGTTTTCAATTTTTAAAAAATTAAAAGCTAAAAATTGTTTGGCAATTCAGTTGAAAAATGATAAAACCAAAAACAAAATAGTTATCAAACACCCTCAAAGGAAAACCAAATTTATTGATTCCCAAATTGTAAAGAACTAAACAGAAAATGAGGAACTCACAGAAACCGATCGACGCAGACGCAGCAGGGAGCAAGAGTGAAAGCGGAAGCTCAGAGAATTCGAGAACTGTAGGTAAATAAATGTAAGAGAGTAACAGAGAGTGAAGTGTGTCTTTAAAAACTCGATGGAGTTTGAAGCAGCAAAAGCCTAACTGGGTTTCTTAGGAATTTCAAAAGACACTGTATGGCATAATTCGGATGATGATTAGCAATATAAAGTCATATTTAAAACTTGGTGAGGAAGCAACTTCCTCTGTAAGTTCGTATACTGTCAGTGATAAAGACAGAGAGAGGTGAAAACAAAACCGCCCACCAAAGTTCTTTGGGAGGAAAACAATAAAAAATGATTTATGGGTCCATCTATAAGGATTACAAAATGTTTGGAACACCAAATTTTCGTAACCATAATTTACGGCATCTTTAATAGAGAGATTATTCAATGGGTCAATCATTAATTAGGTATTGAACTCAACAAATATAATAGGTCTTTGCTATTCATGTGAGTCAAGGTTCAGATGTCTCACTTACAAGTGAAAAAATATACTATTAGACTGTAATACTTGACATGCCTCGATCTTGATATCCTCCAAATACCAGGATGGACATGTGCTGGCCAACACCCGAGGGTGATGAAAACCATTTTAATATGCATGCAAGTTATGAAGTAAAAAATGAACATAAACAAAATATGTAATTTAAATATAATGAAATATGCAAATGTGGGAGCGTGTTTAGAAATACAACTAATCAAGAATACTACAAAAGGAATATTATATAATAATGAGATTACAAAGATAGGGGGTCCTACACCAAGAAGACTCGAAGTTATCGATACAGGAATGTCTCAACGCCGAGAATGTAGGCCTTGATTCTAAGTCTAGAAGGGGGCGCAAAACAAAAAAAATGAGTGAACCAAAGTTTATAATAATACTACTAAGTAAAACCATTTTTCTTTTGAACATACTAACCCCCTATTTTGAAAAGCTCATATAGTACTACATAGTAGGATTTCTGACAACCCTAGCATGTCATGAAAACGTTCGTAAAACGTGCATGTATAAAATAATGCTTAGCAATGGTTGACACGCCCCGACCCCGAGGTCCTAGAGACATCGAGATGGTCACGTGCTGGCCGACACCCGAAGGGTGACGAAACCATTTAATTAAAACAAAAACTGAGAAAATAAACTAAAGTACGTAATAAAGGCTAAAAACCCAAATAGAAATTCAACTTCTAAATATTGAAATTAGGTAAACCCACAGCACGCCCAGAGCATAATTCTAATACAGAGTACAAGCAGAACTCAGAATAAAGAAGTGCTATTACAATAGGTGGCGAAGCGGAGCGAATAAGACACAAATCACTGGTAGGGGAACGCCTCGTAGCTCAAGTCGTAATCCTCGTTCCTAGGTCCTGAAGGGGGCGCAAAACAAAGGTGAGTGGACCAAGTTTATACATACAGTAATAGTAAAACAGTTATCAACATACTAACCCCCAGGTTTTATGAAAACACAAGTATAATGATAAATATAGGTTTTCCGAAATCTAGCATGACGCGCAAAGTCTCAAATCATAAATCGCGTAAATAATAAACACTAGTGAATGTCCGATATAACACTTCAGGCCCCATGCCGGTTCCCTGTCTCTGAGCACACAGTCAGAGGAAAGTACACTTCAGGCCCCATGCCGGCTCCCCGTCTCTGAGCAAACAGTCAGAGGAAAACACACTCCAGGCCCTATGCCAACACCAAACCGTCGCCCGGGATGGACCGGATCTATCCCTACGTCCCGTAGCGGAAAGGACCACTAGGTAGGTATAAAATAAGTGAACATACATATATTGAAAATCAACTTCATAGTATAAAGTCATCCATCATCTATACTATAAAGAAGTGTTCTAAACATGTTCTAAATATCATATCGTCATCCATCAGATATTCTATAAGAACATGGGTTATAGGAAAAATAGTAATAATTCAAACTAGCCTCAGTAAGCATATTATCTCAAAACGTTTCATAAAACATAATCGTAAAGTCATGCTTTTCTGTGTATGCAATTCTACCATTAAAACATGCATTTTTAGAAGGGGTCCACTCACTGTACACCGATGGGGCAAGCCGTACCAAACAGGAGTAACGGAATTTCCGCTAAGAATCGCACCTAAACACACAATTGTTACTTTCAGTCAAACTCTACTCAAACGATTGAATTTGGGAAAACGGACATCGGAAACGGGTTTAGAACGTCGAAATTAGCCTAGGAGAGGTCCCGCACGAAACAAAAAAGTCAACGGTCAAAGTCAACGTTGACCGGTCAAAGTCAAAGTCAACATTGATCGTTGACCGGGTCAGCGGTCAACGGGTCGCGGTCAACGGGTCACGGGTCAACGGGTCACGGGTCACGGGTCAGGGTCATGGGTCATGGGTAGGCCTGGCAAACGGGTCGTGTCTATCGTGTTCGTGTCGTTTTCGTGTAACACCTGTTATCTTAACGGGTCGTGTCGTGTCACACCCGTTATCTTAACGGGTTCTTATCAGGTCGTGTCACTTTACCCAACGGGTAAAGTGACCCGACCCGTTATGACCCGTTATGACCCGTTAAGAAAAAAATATATTTTTTTTAAATTTGCACATACCACACATTGCCACGTAAATATTACTTCAAAACATTAAAACATTTCTCGTTCAAGTACTATGTCTACACTCAAAAATAAAAGCCTAATAAAAAGATAATACATACACTACTAATCTATTACAAATATTAAATGTGCAAGGATAAAGAGTTTTTGTTTTTAATTTAATATATATAATTATTATAGTTTTTACTTTTTAGGGGATATAAAATTATTAAATTAATGTATATAATTATTAATATTATAATTGATTCATACTTTTATTAAGTATATAAATTATAAGATAAGATTTTGTGATATCCACATCCACTAGTGTAAATATTTTAAATTGAAGATCGAATTCATTCATTGTATTCATATAGGGTCAAGGAGTGTAGTTATAAAAAATTATCAAAATCGGATTTAAAATAACCGTTAAATCGTGATTTTTCGTTTATAACCGTTGAAAAGCTTTGTTCCGTTACTTGATCTCTGAATGTTTTTTTTTTGTGATTTTTTGCTGAAGTGATCTCCAAGCATATACAAACAATTTTTACGGTTTCTATCGTTGAAATTAGTTTTGGAGAATTCGTAAAACGATAGATTGACTAACACTTAGAGTTTATTTATACTTTCATTAAGTATAACATAAGATTTTTTGGTATCCACTTGTGTAAATATTTTAAATTGAAGATCGAATTCATTCATTGTATTCATATAGGGTCAATGAGTGTAGTTATAAAAAATCATCAAAATCGGAGTTAAAATAACCGTTAAATCGTGATTTTTCGTTTATAACCGTTGAAAAGCTTTGTCCCGTTACTTGATCTCTGAATGTTTTTTTTTGTGATTTTTTGCTGAAGTGATCTCCAAGAATATACAAACAATTTTGACGGTTTGGATCGTTGAAATTAGTTTTGGAGAATTCGTAAAACGATAGATTGACTAACACTTAGAGTTTATTTATAATTTCATTAAGTATAACATAAGATTTTGTGGTATCCACCTATGTAAATATTTTAAATTGAAGATCAAATTTATTCATTGTATTCATATAGGGTCAAGGAGTGTAGTTATAAAAAATCATCAAAATCGGAGTTAAAATAACCGTTAAATCGTGATTTTTCGTTTATAACCGTTGAAAAGCTTTGTCCCATTACTTGATCTCTGAATGTTTTTTTTTTGTGATTTTTTGCTGAAGTGATCTCCAAGCATATACAAACAATTTTGACGGTTTGGATCGTTGAAATTAGTTTTGGAGAATTCGTAAAACGATAGATTGACTAACACTTAGAGTTTATTTATACTTTCATTAAGTATAACATAAGATTTTGTGGTATCCACTTGTGTAAATATTTTAAATTGAAGATCGAATTCATTCATTGTATTCATATAGGGTCAATGAGTGTAGTTATAAAAAATCATCAAAATCGGAGTTAAAATAACCGTTAAATCGTGATTTTTCGTTTATAACCGTTGAAAAGCTTTGTCTCGTTACTTGATCTCTGAATGTTTTTTTTTTGTGATTTTTTGCTGAAGTGATCTCCAAGCATATACAAACAATTTTGACGGTTTGGATCGTTGAAATTAGTTTTGGAGAATTCGTAAAACGATAGATTGACTAACACTTAGAGTTTATTTATACTTTCATTAAGTATAACATAAGATTTTGTGGTATCCACTTGTGTAAATATTTTAAATTGAAGATCGAATTCATTCATTGTATTCATATAGGGTCAATGAGTGTAGTTATAAAAAATCATCAAAATCGGAGTTAAAATAACCGTTAAATCGTGATTTTTCGTTTATAACCGTTGAAAAGCTTTGTCTCGTTACTTGATCTCTGAATGTTTTTTTTTTTGTGATTTTTTGCTGAAGTGATCTCCAAGCATATACAAACAATTTTGACGGTTTGGATCGTTGAAATTAGTTTTGAAGAATTTGTAAAACGATAGATTGACTAATTCCCTCACTTTTCGTAAAACGATAGTTAATAACTTAAAAAAAAAAAAATTTCTCACCACTTCTATTAATTTTCATTTTTCCCTCTCTTTTTTGTTACCTTTTCAACTTTTTCTTATCATTTTCACTTTTTCCTCCAACATCTTTCCCTAATTCCCTCACTTTTTTGTTTTATTTTCAACTTTTCTTAACATTTTCATTTTCCCTCCATTTTTTTTTTCAAAAAGGGCGGCAAAGTTGGCAAATGGCAATGGCAAAAAATTGATTATTGAAATTTGAATGGAAACAAATCACATCTGAGTCTGACGCATCAAATTTCAATGGATGCAAAATCATGCAAATATGCAAATATGCAATGCATGATCATGCATATTAAATTATTAATTAATAATTATTACAGTTTTTATAAAATTTAATATATATATATATATAATTATTATAGATGGACTTAATATTTTGGGGGTATAATTATTATAGTATATATAATTATTATAAATTTATAATTATTATAAATTTTATAGTTAATTATTTATATATATTTATTATAATTTTTAGGGGTATAAAATTGTAAAATTAATGTATATAATTATTACAGTATTTTTTTAGGGTTATAAAATTATAAAAATAATATT